AAATAATAACTTCAAAAATAATAGTTTAATAAAAAGATTATTCAAATTTTCTAAAATCAAAAAGCATGAAATCGATTTTAATGATGATGGCAGTAGCAGCAGCAGCAGTGGTGGTAATGATGCTTCACAACAAGTACATACATCACATCCAGATGCATATTATACAAGTAGAATATTAGATGAAGAGATTGCTAAATCTAAAAACTTGAAAAGTTATGATAGTTCATTAAATAATCTTGATTTCGACTCTTTTTACTAGTGTTAACAAAGGTGAATAAAAATTTCATTATTAATTAATTGAAAATTACTATCCATTAATTATTACTAATATTAATTAATTAATTAATAGACATTAGATTCTAGTGATAATTGTCAAAAGAAAGAATTGACTTAATCTCCACTATAAATTTATTATCATCTTCTTATTTATCTTTTTATTTATCTTTTTATTTATCTTTTTATTTTGTTTCTCAAAGCTAAATTATAATAATGTTTTGATATAATAAAATTTTTATAGTTTCTTGATTCTTGTTAAATCGTGAGATATCATTTTGGTTAATTAACAATTATGGCATAACTTTTGGGCTACCCTTGTCAGTTAATTGCAAATAATTCAATTAATTAGTTTGAGTTTACCCTTTCTTGCACCTAGACAAATCTGTGAGTTCAAACCTTTGCTTACTCGCTAAAGCAAATAAACGTGGCTTTTACCAAGGCACTAACTACACTTGTTGCTTTTATCAAAACGCTTTAAACAAAAGAAAATAAGGACAGTTTTTATTATTAAAAGTTTATTAACAATTAATTTTATTTAATAAAAATAATGATTCAGAATGTTTCTATTATTTTTCTCTGTGAGGATCCGAAGTTACTCTTTTTCAAGAAAAGACCAAAAGTTATCCTTAATGAAATTTTCATTGATCGCTACAATCAGGATAAAGATAAAGATGGTTTATCAATCAATATTAATATTATAAAAACTTCCATAATTTTTTTACAAAGTAATAATTATAAAAAACTTTTTGCATTTCATTATGCACAAATTAGTTGACTCTGAAACATAAACTACCGAATCACCAAATTTCTGATTCGTTTCGTTCGATCCAAACTAGTATTGATTTCCAAAACTAGAGAGTTTCGCAACTGTGCGAAAGTCAAAAGATTTCGCCATAAGTCAAAACTAGTTTTTGACACAAAACTTTTAATTTTAGTTTTGACTTTTGCTTCTTCAAAATAGTTTAGGTGGCCAACACTATTTTGAGACAAATTTTTCGGTTCTCAAATAAATATCAATGGAAGTTCATATGATAGACGATGTAAAAATTACCACAACCATTTATCATTTTCGGAAAACGAAAATATTTTTGTTCAAATTTCAACGAACAAATTAATTTTGCAGTAAAAAAAAAAAAAAAGTCTCATTACAAAGTTTTACCCTTTGATTTTAATCTCATCCCTCTCCAACAATTCAGTTTACTAAAGTTGACAACAAAGTGTTTAGAAGATTCGCGATTCGTGATCACCATAATTGCACTGAATTTAGTCCCTGTGCAACAAACATTTCAAAGAAAATAATTGACACAAATTAAAGTATACGACATTTAGAAAGGAACTTTTCTTTCAAGGAAGTTATTCTCATAAAAAAAATCTCACACTATTCATTAATATTAAAACAACAAGCCGAATTTGTATTTTATATTTTTGTATAATGTCACATGCTAAACTATTATCACTAGAAAGAAGGGAATTTGTAATTAAAATTTATAGTGAAATGCATCGTAATGCAGTAGTTAATTCTGATAGAGAAAGTAGAAAAGATTATTTTTTTTCATTAGTCAAAAGCAAAGAGCTTTCTGAAAATGAAAATGAATTTTGTAAGGAAAAGTTTATTTATGATTATGAATTAAGAAATGCAAGAAATAAATTGGGCAAGCTAAAAGAATGTAACAAGTGCAAATTGACAAGATACTCTGATAGATTCTGTGAAGGTTGCATCAGTTTACAATTACAGAGTCTTTTCACCACTTGGACATCTGGAAATAACATAATTGATGATTTTATTCAACAATGTCAAATGAAATCATCTTTGCCAGAATATATTTTAGAATGGATACCTTTTGAGCAATTTGAAGATATATCAAAGTTGGCTGAAGGTGGATTTAGTTCTATTTTTACTGCAAAATGGATAAGAGGAATTATTGATGATTATGATGAAGATAAAAAGGAATTTAGTTATTTTGGAAGGCATAAAGTAGTATTAAAAAGTTTAAACAATTCAAGTAATCCAGGAAAAGCCTTTTTTGATGAGGTTGGTAGTTGTCATTAAAACAATATTGTATCATATAGTACTAATTGATTTTATATTTATTTTTCAGGCAATGAATTATTGTAAAATTAAATCAAATTTAATTGTTTCTTGCTATGGTATAACCAAATTCCCAGACAATGGAAATTATGCAATAGTTTTAAATTATCTTAGAGAAGGAAATTTAAGAGGTTATTTACAAAAAAACCATTTTGAATTTAACATTAAAAGACAGAATTACAATCTTTAGATATTTATGTGATGCATTAGATAATATACATCAAAAAGATTTAATCCATTGTGATTTACATAGTGGTAATATACTTGTAGAAGCAGGTGGTTGTTTTATTACAGATTTGGGATTATGTGGACCAGTTGATGAAAAGTCATCAAATAAAGTCTATGGAATTGTATCATATGTTGCACCCGAACTACTTAGAGGCAAAATTAATACAAAGAACACAAAAGAATCAGATGTCTATAGTGTTGGGATCTTAATGTGGGAAATATTTGCAGGACATCCACCATTTGATGATAGAGCTCACAATCATCGTTTAATTTTTGATATATGTGAAGGTTTACGACCGCCAATAATATTACCTGGAATGCCTGATGATTATGCACAAATGATGCAGAGGTGTTGGGATGTGGATCCATCAAAAAGACCAACTATTAATGAGCTTCGGGACTTTGCTCATGATATAAATAACAAAATTAAAAATTATAATGATAATAATGGTAAGCATACTACTAGTAGTGGTGGTAGTGATTCACAACAAGCACACAAATCACATCCAGATGCATATCATACAAGTAGAATATTAGATGAAGAGATTGCTAAATCTAAAAGCTTGAAAAGTTATACAAGTAATGATAGTTCGTTAAATAGTCTTGATTTCAACTCTTTTTTCTAGAATGTTAACAAGGGTGAATAAAAATTTCATTATTAATCAATTGGAAATTGCTATCTATTAATTATTACTAATATTAATTAATTAATTAATAGACATTAGATTCTAGTAATAATAGTAAAAGAAAAGATGCGATGAATGACTAATTTAATCTCCACTATAAATTTATTATCATCTTTTTATTTATCTTTTTATTTATTTTTTATTTTGTTTCTCAAAGCTAAATTATAATTATGCTTTGAAATAATAAACCTTTTATAGTTTCTTGATTCTTGTTAAATGGTGATATTGTGAGGTATCATTCCGGTTAATTAACAATTATGGCTTAAATTTTGGGCTACTCTTGTAAGTTGATTGCAAAAAATTCGGTGCTTGTCAATTAATTAGTTTATTTGCTCTTTCTTGCACCTAGACAAATCTCTGAATCCAAACCTTTACTTACTCACTAAAGAAAATCACGTTATTAATCGTTGTTAACACTTACTAGTTAACCAACGTTGGTATCCTAACCTTGCCTGCTTGCTCACTAAAGCAAATAAACGTGGCTTTTTACCAAAGCTCCACAATTGTTGCCTTTACCAAGGCACTAATCACACTTGTTGCTTTTATTAAACAAAGAGAATAAAGACAATGTTTTTATTTTTAAAAGTTTATTAACGATTAATTTTATTTAATAAAAATAATGATTCTATCATAGAGTTTTATTTATTAAATGTTAATTATCTATTATTTTCCTCTGTAAGGACCCGATGTTATGCTTTTTCAAGAGAAAACCAGAAGTTATATAAAGATGGTTTATTATTGCAAAGTCACTTAATCAATTTATTATAAAAACCTCCATAGCTTTTACACAAAATTTTCATTTGATAATAATTATATACACTAAAATTAGTTGACCCTGGAACATAAAGTACCGAATTCCTAGTGGGAACTGAATTTGTATTCAGCAAAAGAAAAACTTTGCTCCTGGGAACAACTGATGAAAAAAAGGAGATATTGGGATACACAAGAAAAAAATACCTTGAATATATATTTACAAGTTATTCATTAGCCTTTAAAGCATTTTACTTGTGTCATTTTTGGGCTTAATAGCAGCAAATTTGACGTAATAGTTTTACAACTTTGGTAACATTTTGTCAAACAACATTATTAATTCTAGTTGGTAAATCAAATCTGGCACAAAATTTAAAAATGACTAATAGTAGCAACATCCTTACTTCAAACAAAAACAAAATGCTTTACCTTCAAAGCATACTAGTAACCTTATACAGTAAATGATCTAACAAATATGTTGTTTGAACCAGATCCTTATGATACGAAAATTAAAATTGATACAGAAGAGAATGATATTAAAATTTTCAAAGCTCATATAGTAAATCCAAAACTGTTAAAACAAAATCTTGTTTTTAAAAAAGGTATATATTAATAAATAGATAGCTTGGATTTGATAAACTTCTTATTGATGTCATGAATCAAATTTCAATGGATTAGATTTCAATGAATTGCTTGATGATTTACAAAATTGTCTAATTTCAAAGGAAAAGGAATGAGTCTGCAGCCAAATTATCTGCATCAAATTTCGCCAAAATATCAATCATCATTTAGTATACTTCAAGATTACTTTGAAAACTTAATCAATAACACATCAGAATGTTTTTAAAGTCAAATGATTATAAAGGTATTGAAAACCCAATGCTTGTATCTATTTTAAAAATAAATTTAGGAGAAATTGATATTTGGAATTATATCATCCATCAAATGAATTGCACAAATTGAAAATTTTGGAGGAAAAAATATTTAAAGAATGTATCATTCTTTTGATTTGATTTCAAGATATCTCTAAAGAGAAATTTAATGACACAATTGTATCATATCAAATGTTATTTCCTGAAGCTTCTTTGGGATGATGTTTCGCATTATTACTTGGCTCACGATGAACCACCTAATTCAAATTTATTTCATTGAAAATAGTTTCAACAACAACAATCAATCTTTACTTTTTCCAAAAGAATTCCACCATACACTTTATTCAGAAAAGTGAAATATAGATGTAAGTAAAATGCTGAAAAGAGAATCATTAATTGGTTTTGTTTTTACTACCGGCTGAAATTGGTTTTTAATTTTGTTTCCTAACAATTTGATTTTGATTTATTTGTTTGGCAAACCTGGCAAGGATTTGGTTTTTAGATGGTGCTCTCATTTTTCTTGCCATTCCTTGATTCCTTTGACTAATAGATCTCCAATTTCTTTTCCCTGGCTTTTAATTACTTTTTAAATTCTTGGGTGATATCACTGTTTAAAACTTCTTGAATATTGGCTAAATGGTTTTTTTCCTGTTACGAATTATTTGAATTGGCTTGAAAGTTTCTCTTGTCTTTTAACTTTTCATAAATCCCTTCGTATCAAAGGTCTTCCTTCGCCTCGGTAACGTATTTGTCGGTAAACCATTATTGTGATAGAATTGTCTTCTAGCTAAACACTCACTGATTTTACTGGCTTGGAGTTTTTAACAATTAATACCTTGTTCAGCTTCTTAAAAGCCTCTAGATACACGTTTTCTTTCAGCATATAATTCCTTTTTATCGCTATTGTAATAATGTGTTTTTTTTAATTCATTTGTATTATTTATACAATATATATTTTTACAATTGCTTTGTGATTTCGCATCATTATTAATTAGGGTGACATACTAGAATGTATAAAACCAATGAAATTAAATTTGGTGATTTTTGAATTGATTTCTCGAATACATTCATCAGGTATCATTAAGTCCTGAAGAAAGTGGAAATGCTATTGGATCTATATAGTATTTTCTTGGTTAATTAATTCAAGATACTCTTATTTCTAAATCACATCCGATACAATGATTAGCTGAATGAGCCACAAGTCTTGATGTTTCTCCACGTTGAAATTTTTGGTAAAGTACAAACATTTAGCAGAAAAGTGATCTTAAGAATTTCTAATAGTCTCTTTAATAAAATGGACTCAAACCTTAAAAGCTGGTCTTCCTAATTAAGAAGAGGACAATACCTACAAATCGAGACCGACTATTGTCTGATATTTCAATGAAGAATATTAAGTGAAACAAATGACATTAATTAAGAGCAATAATCTCCTTTTCGTCGCATCTTCGTTACATTTTCCTCTTTTCGTCAATTTGTCACATTAACAATGATTTGACAAAAACATGTTGTCAGGTATCATTAATCCAGATATTGCAAAAAAATTGTTTATGGCAAAAATACTAATACTTTATCTCAATGTCAAAAATTTGAGTCACTTTCAAGATTTTTATAAAGCAGGCGCATAACTTTATGATGAAAAGTTAAAGGGTCCATTGTTATTAAAGATAGGATGGGGATTGTTGTAATAGTGTATTTCGGCTTGAAGATGTATGCCAAATAATTTGTATAATAGAAATTATCGGGCAAATTTTGAACGTCTTACAAAAGCATTGCCACCTTCAAAACACGTTGTCAAATGTATATGCTGTATAGAGTCTGCCAATTGCACACTGGAAGATATTTTTTCAATTCTTATTATTCAAATATATAACAAACAATGGATACAATTTGATATTTACTTTGTTATTTTTTACATCCAAAATACTGCAGTAATGAGATGGTTCCTGTAGTCTTTCATTCAGTGATACGTGCAGTATTAAAGCTATGGAAAAAAAAAATTTTTTTTTAATAAAAGTGCTTAAATTTTAATCACACAAATAAAAAATCATGATTCTCTTAACTTCTTTCCCTTATCGTTATTCACATGTAAAAGGATCAGAATGTCTAAAAACATGGCGAATTTCTTGTAAGGTGTTGTAAATGATGATGTTGTTGGCATTGTATACTTTATCCATTGTACCTCACAGTGCAAGGCGTGAATGTTTATTTTTAGTATTGAGTTGGTTTACTCAAATGAATATATATTTATTTTTTTCCAATACATATACAATATTCTAATAATTATTTTTCTTATAGACTTGATGTTAGAAAAGCTTCCAATATGGCCAAGTTACGTTCTTTCTATGTCACTAATGCAAAAAATGAGTTGAATTACGTTATTCAGAAATATCAGAAGAACAATTGACTGGTGCTTTGCATGATTATGGAGGTTGATTACTTTTTGAATTGGGAATTTTTGATTTTGAAGATGATGATAAGAACAATAGTAGTGACGATGAATATGATAATAATGCCGATAATCATAATTTAGAAATAGGAAATCCTTTTTATTTTATAAAGAACAATTGTGTAATATAGGAATTTATATATTAATTAATTAGTCCGAAATAAAGATCATAATTATTACTATTTTTTTAAAACTAGCATTAATAAATTAATTAACTTGTTTTTCAAATGTTTTTATTTTTAAAGCATTTGATTTATTGATCCTCACTCAATATTTACATAATAATAACACTGCATTTTTATTGCGAAAATGAAAAGAATAAAGAAAACCAGTTTATTTACCATAATTACAGTATTCACTATTATTATTACTATTACGGAATTTAACTACGGAACTTTTTTTTTATTTATAATTTACTATTATATTAATATTACTATTACTATTACCATTACGGTTTTCTCGAACCAATTATATCCATAGTGTAATCTATTTCTTATTTTAAATAATTGTTGCACGAAATTTAATCTTGCACAAATTTGAATTTATTATTATTATTATTTGAATTACATATTAAATTATTAAATCGAATCAGTCATATAAATATAATCACTAGTTTTTTTAATGTATCCCAGGGTGGTGCGGTAAGATGTTCCCCGATGTATTGAACTTTCATAACACGAAGATTTGACCTTAATGGATTGGCAAATTGTAATAGTTAAAAACCTGTTTAAATTAAATGCTTTGTTTGATTTCTGATTAATAACCATCATAGTGTACTCTACTGCTGTGATACTAAGCAGTTATTTGATTATTTTATCAATAAAAGATTATACGTAATCTATCAATTACAATAACAGTAAGATTCGATAACAAGTATGGCGAAGACTAAACAAGTTTTGGACAAATCAAAAGTATCGTTGAATAATCTTAGCTAGAGATAAAAGTTCTCCGCTCGAACTAACTTAATTGATTAAATGATTGAGTCATAATTGAAATAAGAAAACAGTGATTTATATTCCACAAATATAAATAACAAGGATTGTGAAAACAATCTTTTTTTTTGAATAAAAAAAAATCATATAAATATTAGCATTATTAACTTTTGAAAATTATATAATTTTAAAAATTCATTTGAAATTTGGAAAAATGTCAGACAATAATAATCGCTTCAACAAAACAAGTCAAAGTGAAAAAAAATGGCAACGGAAGAAAAATATCAATAACGAAAAAGTTATTTCGTCATCAGTATCACCGTCATTCTTAGTATTTGTTCAAGAAATTGAGCTAGAAGGGCCTAGAAAATTGTCTTCGCAAGTGTCAGCAGACCAATTATCCAATCATCGAGAACTAAATAATAATAACAACAACAACAACAACAACAACGTTTGTGTTAATATTGGATTAACGGACGAGTTTATGATTAATATTAAAGATTTCTTCAACGGTACATTACAAAACATAACGAGTTTACATGAAGAAGACAATGAAGACGATTTCGAAGAACAAAATATAAATAACGAGACTATGTATCAATATTATTGTAGCGACTCCGCCACATTTTCCGATGACTTATTTTGATGTATGTCTCAACTTTCATATTTATTTCTTTTTTAAAAAAAAAATGTATATAAAATAAAAAGTATTATTATTATTATTATTATTATTATTATTATTATTATTATTATTAATATCGTTGTTGGGGTTATATGTTAGTCGTTGTTGGGGTTACATGTAATTATTATTTTTATTATTTTCATGATACAAATTTGTGTGTGTATTGTAATTGGTGATAATAATAAATAAACAAAAGCATAATATATAACTGTCATTATACCATTTCCATATGTTTATATTGTTTTTCCGTATTTTAATTCGAATTATTAATATTAATTTATTCCTTTAACATGCACGATACGACTCCCAAAATTATATAACCTTTTGCATGCTTTTATTTAATATTTATATAAATTGTTTCTTCTCTCCTAATAAAAGGGTTGATAATTAAATAAGGCCATTGCCAATATTCAGTCAATCTTAATGTTGACAATAATGTTCAGACGATATTTATAAAAAAAAGTGTCACATTCTAACAGGACCCGGAAACTTCCAATTGAGGTCCCAATCAATTTTCATGATTTTTATATTAAGTTTACCTAAGTGCTTATGTAATACTGTTAATATTGGCATTAATAACATTTTTTTTAACACTATTGAATTTACACATTTTATATCATGGACTTTTTAAAAAATTTCTTTTTTTAAAAAAAAAAGGAATTTAGTTTTTGCGTTTTTGCGTGTAACTGTTGAAATTAAAAATTTTGGGGTGGGTGTTTGGATATGAAATTCACATGATTTCATTTTCATGTATAACATAACCACAATTTTACCTTCTAATTTACCAATAATAATTCTGTCCTGTTTTTCTATATTATTAATTATGTACGTATTTGCATTCTGGTTATTTTATGTAGGTGCTGTATATATATTAATAAATTAAATAATCTATTATTGTAAAACCTCGGTTCAACAGTCAAGCTGGCAATTTATGAACCAAATCGTCCCAATGAAAAGAAAAGAAAATGGTTGATGATATCATAAAAAACACACATGCCAGGAAAATTGGGCAATAGTAAATTAAAACTTGGACTCTTTACACCTGCCAATCAAACTACATGTTCGTTTCTGACTAATTTTTTTGTTGTTTTAAATTAGATACGTTGAATGAAAAACTTGTGTTAAACTTTGGTATCTTTGATACCCAATTTATGGTATTCCTCATCTCTTTTCTTTGAATATTGATCTTCATAACATTCAAGACATACATCTTCCATGTTGTATTCCATTACAAAGATATATTCTTTTGTAGCTGGATCTTGTGTTAATCCATAAATTTTATTTATAAATGATTCACCATAAAATGTAACATAATTTCTAAACTATATAAAAATAATATGTTGAATTTCAGAACAACATTTAAAAGCCTGAAATAAATAGAAAAACAAAATAATTTACCTCATTAAGAAATTCATCAAAAACATTCTGTGAATTATGTATTTTTTTAATGCCACAGTCATATCTTCACTAGTTTCTTTTTTTAATTACATAATTTACACTTTTCTCATCATTTAACCAAGTAGCTTTGGATATAGTTGCAAACCCACCTTCACCTATCTCTTCAATATTTGTTAAATAATTATAAGGAATCCATTGAAGATGATTACTATAATGATACTTGGTTGTTTTAAGTTGTGTGCTTTTAATCAGCTCATCTAATGTTTCATTGCCCCTAGTCCATCCTTCAGTTAATAACTTTGGATCACATGTTTGACACCACAAATAATCAGTATAGGACCTCGGACAATTATAATCAAACTGGTATTGAGAAAAGTGGGTAGTGATCTCGTTAAAACACCAGTCAGATCTTCAAGCATTTACATAATAAAATTGGGTATTTAAAAAAAATAGCCCAAAAAGGAGACACTCTAGCTATTTTTAGTAAGATATTCGGAGTATTTTTCACAATGTTTTCTTACATACCAGTTCAAATATGATTGTCCGAGGTCCTATCAGTATTATATCTATTGCATGTTAAACATTCCCCATATTTTTCTTTTCTTTTATCAGAATATTCATCATTTTTGTCAGTAGAAGTATCATAATGATGTTTATTTTCATCCAAAGTGTTCTCCATCATGGTTTTTGTATAAATTGTCAAAAAAAAATTTTTTTTCAGCCATAAATATGTATCACACAAAATATATTAATATTAATTTAAAAAAAATTAAATTAACTGAACTACAACAATTCAGCACTGTAATAAATATTGCAAGCGTGTGATCCGAGTTATTGGAGTCACCAATTATGGCAAACTAAATTAAAATCACTATATACAACTACACTGATTAGGGTTTCTATTTGAATAAGGTTTATTCGAATTATTTGTTTTACTTGTTATTATTATGAATTGAGTATTCGAATTAAATTGGAAGTTTATTCAAATAAAATGAATAACGAATAATTCGATAATTCAAGTAGACAATTCAAATAAAACAAATAAACAATTTGAATAAAATGGATAAACGAACGATTCAAATAAATGAATGGTTCGAATAGTTCAAGTAAAACAAGTAATTTGAATAAAATGAATAATTCAAAAAAAAATGAATAATTCAAAATAAAACAAGTAATTCAAAATAAATGAACAATTCAAAATAAAACGGATAAAAATGAATATTTGAATAAAATAAAAACGAATAATTCGAAATAATAATATTAATTAATAATATTTTTTTAGACTGTTTTGGTGTAAAAGATTCAATCTTCTGTATTCAGTCACAACATCTTTATTCACCTTTAAGCAATCAAAATCAAATGAAAGGATGTCCAACTGGTCCCAATAAGGAGCCCTGCTCATCTCCACATAGAACTGAACTGGGGGAAACATATTTTCATCAATCGTTAGAGTCACATGTGGCAATGCCATGCCTTGAGTCTTGTGTGTTATCAAGGCAAATGCATTCTGCAATGGGAATTGAACCTCGAGGTATGTGTACTGTTTATTTCAAAATTCATAGTGATTTTTTGAACGCTCATTTTAGTAATTTTACCATTAGTTGGAAAAGTAATTTCTACATTATCATCATCTATAACTTTGGTGGTCACACCTACCGTTCTATTGCAGATGCCGTGTTCAGACAGCTTACCAATGAACTCATGCTTTAATACTTTAATAGAAGTTCTCGTTATCATATAAAATTATCTGTATCAAAAAAAATTATTAATCATAAATTTTAGCCATAATTTAAAAGATATCGTTTATTGTTAAAAAAATAGATTTTGTTTGATAATTATAAATAAAATAATAACAATATTCAAATAACTTTAGTTGCGCAGTGAGACACTACGTAACAATTTAAAAACCGTTTTTCAGATTTTGACGTAATTTTTTTATTTTACCCAATAAAAAGTAATAATTTTGGTCGCGCAGCTGTGTAAATAATTTTTATTTTACAACTAGATAATAAAGGAAATGAAAGAGTGATTGCATATGCTAGTAGACAACTAAGACCAGTAGAGAAGAACTATGCAGCAACAGAATTAGAATGCCTCGGCATTATATGGGCTATAAAACATTTTCATACATACCTTAGTGGATCCAAGTTTAAATTAATTATAGATCATGCAGCATTGAAGTATTTAAACAATATGAAGGAACCAAAAGGAAAATTGGCTTGTTGGATTATGACATTACAGTCATACAATTTTGAAGTAGAACGTAGATCAGGAAAGAAGCATCAGAATGTAGATGCAATGTCTAGAATAAAAACGGGATACTGGGATTGATTTAATTAAAACATTTTAATTAATTAGTATTATTTATATATATACACGTAACATACAGTTTTTTTTTTCTTTTCTCATATATTATTTTTATCATTTATATTATTTATTTAATTATTACTTAACTTTCTTGCGGACATGATGACTTGGTGGATGATCGTGCTGGTGATGCATGGATTTGGTTAGAGTGCATTACACTTTTTACACTTTGTACATTTTTTACACTTTACACTTTTATAAATTAGTATTATACTGTCTTTATTTATTATTTAAGATTTAATCTTTCCAGAATCATCTACAGATGAAGAACAAAGGAAAATAAGAAGTCAATCAAGATATTTTCTTGTCAGAGAAGGTATCCTATACAAAAAGAATAGGAAGAGCCCTCAAAGACCCACCCTTTCGGATGGTGAAATCAAATGAGGTAGAAAACATTTTACACAACTTACATGCTGATTCGTTGGCTAGACACTTTGGAATTGAAGCAACCTATCACAGGATTGCTGAAAGATTTTACTTTGCCTGTATTGCAGGAGCTCAATTTAGAAGGAGTGATGTTATCAGAATTAGATTTGGACACTCTTTTGGCCATCTACCTTTGTAATACATTTTATTTTTAATTTTTATTTGTTAATTATTTGTATATCGTTGTAATTTATTTAACTTTATTAAGGAAGAATTGTCTTTCCATTATTTCAATTTTGAAATATTAGAATTACTAATTAATTGAATTGTATATAAGGAGCTTGAATTCAATGTACTTGTAAATTAACTTTCTCATAAGTTAATTAGTTTCAATTAAGAAAACTAAATAAACAAAATAAATATTTTATTAAAACTATTATCTTCTTTAAACAAAATTATTCACTAATAACAAAATCAATTCATTAATCCCTATTCATTCTGATCCACACAAAACAAAAATAATTGTTATCACCAATTAAAAATATGCTCTCCTAAAATTTAATTGGTGACAGTAGCACATATCACATTATTTGTACTGCCCCAAGAGGTATAAATACACTTGGCTTTAGACCAAGTTAATAATCATCATTAATTAATCAATTGTTAATATTGTTGATAACAACCTTGATAACAACAACATAATAATAACTCTTAATAAATATATAACTTTACATAAAATAGTCTTTGACTGTAAGTAACTAATAAACCCAGTGTGATTGACTCCCCCTAGCCCTTCTAATGGTTAATAGTCTGGCCAACCTTTAATTATTAGT